TTCGGGGGCCCCAGGACGAATCCTCACCCAGCAGCAAATTATTTTGCTGAAAGCGGTCGAAGAGTTTGGTGATGGATGATCGCGAGATTCCGTGTCTTGCCCTATGGATGTATACAAGCTACCGCAAATGTAGCATTCTATATTGTGATCCGCATACTTAGCGAATTTATCGAGCACTGTGCTTGCATTGACCATAGATGGCATCTACTTCACCGGGAATGGAATCTTATCCATCCAAATGCAGCGAAACATACTACCGTCCATGGAACGACGAGTCAGCATATTCTATCAAATTAATGTATCCTTGAACAATGCTACCAGCCGGTTTGGCCGTACGTTGGATAACCGCTTCTTTCACTATTGATTATGGTTTTTTGAAGGTAAACGATCAAGAAGATCTTTAAAAATGTGGTCTACATTAAAGCGTACCGATAGGACGACATACAAATATGTCCTAGAGATGTGGCGAGTAGAAAAAAAACCGTTTCGGTCTGTACAACCTAGACACGCTGGTTGCTGAGACCACATGGAGGAATTTTTTGGCAACGGCTGGCCAAATTCTGTAGTCCAATCACTTGAAAGCTGTGGTATTGGTTCGTAGAGTGCTTAAAAGGTAAGGTCCCCATTTGGACATTTTTCCAAGCACCTTTCAAAGCAGTCGTGGAGTAGAAGGCGTTGAGGCAAGTGAAGCACGTTAAACATAGATCCGTTAAGCTATTTTATTCAAAAGGTGTACAAGTTATGCACATAAAAAAATGCAGGTACAATTCTAAAATAGAAAAAGTACAGAGACATACAGGTCCCAAAGTTACTGTAATGTATTTCAGCTCGGCACTTCAAAATACAGCGCAAAAGGTCAGTACCCGAGGGGTCCGAAGTTCACGAACAAAAAGGCACATTTGGTTCTACCAGACTTATAAAAAATATAGCGCTTATACAAAGTCTCATAGGTGACTTGTTTGATTAAACCAGTAGACCGACCTACTTTTTTGATTTGGTCTGTTTATTTTGTGGTCGTGTCGTGTTCTCGGTTTTTTGGAAGATTTTGAACGCAGCGTACCATTTACTGTAGCATCGAACTTCGAATTTTTTGACTTCTAGCGATTCTGACATACAAGTGCACCGCGGATTAATTTTTCTGCACTACAACTTCGAAGTAAACAGAATTTTACGTTTTATGGTATCTTGTGCGGATATACCCGCATAAGAAAGAAGCAATGATACTGAGTTGCCTGTTCCACTTAAAGAAGAACATGTGGAAATGGCTTTTATCTAGCGAAGGGTCGAGATGGATGTATGGCCTTATGTTTGTCCATATATGGACACCGGCCGGTGCATGCCTAAATGATTATATGCTTATCCATAGAGAGAAAATCCACGAAATAAAAGTCCATCCAATTTTATACTTCCACAAACCGAATCGGCATCATAAGACTATGTTCCTCAAGGAAACCCAGCTTTTCTGCCAAAAAGGAGTACTCATTTTAAGCCGCATGCCACTGTCTTTTCCTATTTGCGATTTTTTTTCTGATGATAGTCTCAAGAGTAAGTATAGGTTTCGTGAGTTGGGATAGGCTTTTGACAATTGCCTCTTCGATATATTGCAGCCAGCACTTTTACTGTGCAAACGAAATGCAATTTGTCTTTATCTCTAATCCTGAAGGTTTTTGTCCTACGCTCGATCAATTTCAAAAGTCCAAACCACGTCATTTGAAAAGACGCCCACTCATCAAAACGTGCCATCTGATACAATGGCGTCCATACCAGACACTGGCGGTTCTGCTAACTTCCTCCAGGTAAACGAGCGGTGACTTTAGCCTAATCTTTGCGTAAGGTAATTTTTTTAATATCTTGCTACGATAACTTTGAAAACGTGTTTAGCTTGCTCGGCAAAATTCGCTGACAGTTAATCCTTTGCTGCTCGCTATAATTCTTTATTCAAGTCATCTGACAAAGTTAAAATACATTCGCCGCTGTAATCAGATGCGCTTTATACGGCTTGGATCATGTCCAATCTAGCCGACCTCGACTGTCTTGCGTACTACCCTACCACGCTTGGCGATATGCGTTAGGCGGCCTTGATAGTTCGACCGGCCCTTTTCTTCGGAAGCGAAAGCCCGATATCAATGGTCCATGTACCACGACGTCTTAATGGAGTGTGTGCCCGGTTTTTTGGCCTCTTTTACCTACGAAAAGAAGCCGTACTCATAAAACAAGACGCAGAATGTGCTCAAAGCACATCGAAAATTTATTTGAATGGCCAGAGATATATTTGCGATATTTTTGCAACGAGTACTATCTCCTTCCAGATGAAGTTAATATCCTTTACTAGAATGATCATTCTTAAACAACGG